TCCAGGCTAATCCATGCTTTATAATGGGAGTGGATGGTAGCCAAGCGGCAACCTCCCACTCTCTCGCTCTCGTGAAACCAACACGGAAGATACTTAAACTGTAATTCATCGACTGGCCGCTAGAGGCTGGCTCCTAAAAGGGAGTCAATCCCATAGACTCCCCATGTTAAAATGCCCAAATACAGCAGAAACATTTTTACATTCTGGTTCAAAAAGTGTTTTTGGTCTATATAGCTAATTTTGCCCTTCATGACAACTGTGAGGGAGGGGTCACGAATTAGTAGTACAAAACGAGGATTTGTAAAGAAAAATGTCGGAGGATTTCGATATAAGCCAAGAGGACACTGGTTTTCCTTTGCTGTAAACAAAACTTGTTTCTCGCGAGACTAGCCTATTCTCACCGGAGCTTATGCTGCGTCTACGTCTTACGTCATCCGTTGGACGCCACTCTCTCGTGAGCGAACGTACGCAAATGCATCACGTCGTTTCAGAAAGCCTTTATTAGCCCACTGGAGCCGTGTGGACTTCTCTTATAATGGATGGGTGCAATTTTTTGGACTTCAAATTTTGGGCTACCATCCACTCCCATTATAAAGTATGGATTAGCCTGGACATTATTTAATATAACTCCGATTGTATTCGTCTGAATGAAGAAAGTCATATACACCTAGGGTGGCTTGAAGGTGAGTAAATCATGGGGTAATTTTCATTTTTGGGCGAACTATCCCTTTAAGATTATTATTTATCTTATAAATCATATTCTCATCTGAAGTTAAAAGAAGAATGTCAGTTATACTGCAACTTAAAATGACATTCTGTAACTTTTTTTAAAACAATATTGCATTCATCAGTATTTAAATGAGATCTCCACCCGGAACCGCTTCGCTCCCCTCCGCGAGATGGAACGCGACGCTGTGATCATCGGAGACTCCATCGTCCGGCACGTCCGTGCTACGTTAGCTGAAGGTAAGGTGCACACTCACTGTTTCCCTGGTGCTCGTGTTCTCGATGTTTCTGCGCAGATACCCGCGATCCTGAAGGGTGACGAGAGCCCCGGAGCGGTCGTGCCCAATCCTGTGCTCCAGGATCTTCTCCTGAATCTCTTCATCCTAAATCCAGCTGATCTGGACCGCATACGATAAACAGAGCAGAAGAAAAGATTTTCTGTGAGTATAATTGCTTACAGCTTGACATGTTTCTTTCACAAACCTGCTGAATAGCTTGAGAAGACTGTCAGTTCAGAGCACGTATGAACTGATTTTATAGCAGCATACTTTATATTTGTCCCTGTTAAAGCAACTAGCAGAAATGGGTGTGAGACGCTCGCGCTTGGGTTCTGTTATACTCGCTTAACTGATGTTATATGTTTTATATGATGTAAGTACTGTAACAATAAGCTACAATACTCACATAAAATGTTCCTGAAATGCATTTATAAATTGTACCAGATAAACATGATATAATGGTTACTCTTCTGACCAGGGCTGGTTTCTTCATTAGGGCGACGCACCATAGAAGTGTGAAAGGGAGGGATTTGTTCTAGCTTATCTCATTCAACTACGGTGTTACACTAGCTGTCACTGATCTAGACTGTTTGTTCTGCCCTGGGGCACTGCTATGGTTTCTGGGCCCCCTGAACAGCATATTGACTCTGTAAAATTCGCATACTGGGCCCCTTAAAACAATTATCTTTATTTAAAATGTTTCAAGTCTTAATATTTTTCCTTTTGTTATACTGGGATAAATCATACTGGAATGTTTTACATTTTTCACCAGCCGCCACTGCTTCAGACACTGTTTAAAAAGCATGTGTGCTGTGATAAATAAGTGACTGAACGATTTACAGCTTTCTGAGAAGCTCAAATCAAGTAGAGAAAAAATGAATGACAGAAGTGAGTACTTACAGTGCTTCATATAGGCACAGATGATCTACAAATGATCAGTACATTACATATCAATTTATCATATATATTGCTTTCTCCGTAGTTCCTCTGTTATCAAATGAAGGTGGCATTGATTCATTTGGTAAGATTTTCTGTCTGGTTCATTGCTATGTTTTTAATAGTCTTTAGATTAAAAGTATTAATTTGATTTTATTCTGTCACCCAAATGAAGATTGTCAATGCCAGAAAATCAACATCTGGCTTCATAGTAAATTAATTTAAAAATAATTAATTTTATTTTAAAAACATGTCATGCCCTAAGTTGATGTAATGTAGTGAGCTACTTTGTGTAACTTTGTAGTGTTGTTAACTACAGTTTTTCAAGGTTAGCTTAGCTGAAGTTTAACTGTATCCGTCTGTCACACCTGAAAAGTAGTTTTAGAAAGAAACTCGTCTGCTTTGAGACGACGGACACTAAATCAGCCACAGCGACAACACAACTCAGAGGTTCATGGGAGGACACGGCAATCCACAGAAGACAGAACTACAAGTATTTATTTCACATTTACATTCATTGATCTAGCAGACATATGTCATCAGAGACAATAAAAGTAGCAAAATGCAATGTCATGTTTAAAGTATATAAAACTCAATGAAATCATGATTAGAAGTGAAATGCGGAAAATAAGAGAAAGGTGTTTTTTTACTTAAATTTACAATAAGTGCCTCTGTTTGTTATTATTAGATACTTATAAAGTGATAGTTCACCCAAAAATGAAAATTATGTCTTCATTTACTCACCTTCCACTTGTGCCAAACCTCGATGAGTTTATTTATTCTGTTCAACACAAAATAATAATAATATTTCGAAGAATGTTGGAAACCAAAAAGTTGACAGTGCATTGACTTCCATTGTATTTCTGTCCATATATGGGAGTCAATGGCTGCCGTCAAATGTTTGGTTTCCAACATTCTTCAAAATCTCTTATTTTTTATTTTCTTATTTTCTTATATTTTAGTTTGGAAAAAGTGGAAAAATTCTGTAAAGGATGACAGAATTTTCATCTTTGGATGAACTATGGCTTTAAGTGTGTGCTAGAGAGTTTTTGTCTAAAATATTACAACTTTATTTAAAATGTATTATTGTAATTATTTTGAACACTGTTAAAATGCTTTGTCTAATGCCTGGCATTATCATGTGATTGACAGGATCGGTTTCATCTGAACTCAGGATTGTGCTGGTGGGTAAAACTGGATCAGGAAAGAGTTCAGCGGGAAACACCATCCTGGGCAGGGAGTGTTTTATCAAGGCTGTTTCACCAGAATCAGTTACTAAGACCTGTGAGAGAGGAGAAGCACAGATTGGTGAGCGGATCATCTCAGTCATCGACACTCCAGGCCTGTTTGATACACGGATGTCAGAAGGGAAAATTAAGTGTGAAATAGAGAGGTCTGTCTACATGTCTGCTCCTGGTCCTCATGCGTTTCTGCTGGTCATCAGACTGGGTGTGAGATTCACAGACGAGGAGAAAAACACAGTGAGATGGATTCAGAAGAACTTTGGAGAAGCAGCTACTCGATACACCATCATTCTGTTCACTCACGCTGATTATCTCAAGGGAAGACCGTTAGATCTGTATATCACTGAAAGTGAAGATCTGCAGGCTCTTGCTAACAAGTGTGGTGGCAGATATCACCCATTTAACAATGAAGACACGAGGAACCGCGATCAAGTCACAGAACTGCTGGAGAATATTGAGATCATGGTGGAGGAGAACGGAGGACAGCACTACACTAATGAGATGTACCAGGACGCTCAGAGAAAGATACTCCATAGAGCAGAGTTCTGTAAGTGTTTTTGAAACATAATGCCACTATGATATAAACAGCTGTTTGTGAATAAAATCTGTTTACTATGCCTGTTTCACTTCATATCGAATTGATAGTGTTGAACCTGATCGCTCAGTTAATTCACATTCTGCTTGGCAGGGTCTGAAAGTCCTCGTATTGTGCTGCTGGGTAAAGCTGGATCAGGAAAGACCAGCGTGGCAGAAACCATCCTGGGACAAAGGAGATCTGAGAGATCTGAAAGCAGCGAGCTAAAACAAGTATTTCGGCGAGAGAAACTTTCTTCAGTCACTGGTTCACAGCTGCGGTGGCAGATTTCACTCAATCGACAGTCAGAATAGAGATGATCACAATCAGGTCTCAGGGCTGCTGGAGAAGATCGAAAACTTTGCGGAGAGAAACCAATGGGAGTACTACACAAATGAGAAGTTTAAAAATATTATTCAAAAAAAGACCTTTAAAAAAAATTAGAAAAAGCCCTAAATACAGTCGCAGCCGTAGCTGTACCAGTAAGTGTTGGATCCATAGCAGCAGGTGTTGTGCTGGTAGCAGAGGTGGTCATAGCACCAGTGCTAATAACCACAGGAGTTGTTTTGCGGCTGGAGCAGCTGGAGTCTTTGTCTGGAAAAACATTTACAAAAAAACGTGTTTTGACATTGTAGATAGCAGGGATTAAAGTTCTCCAAAATCCACTGAAAAAAACACTCACTGACTGAATTCTGCTCTCTCACTAATTCTCTCCTAATAAACAACAAAGTGCAGATCTGATATAAGCATCAGTACTGGATCCGAGCATTAGGTCTTAAAGTGACAGCAGCCTAATATACCTGCTGCTGTCTGTGTCATTAATTTTAATCAAACAAGAAAAGAAAAAGAGAAAAGCACGTACTGCTCTTGACTGAATCACTTTTAACTAAAGATTCATCTATATTTATCTATATAATGCAGTGTCCATTTACATTTGATTATTCAATATCTGTGCCTGAGTATCTGATAAACTTAAAACACTGCTTATTTCATTTGTATATTTGTTGTGTTTCATTTATTAGGGCTATTGTTTGTAATTTGTTTATTTGATCTTACTTCGTTACTGACTGTTTGCTTGTCTTTAATAATGCTTGAGCTTTATTTTAGTTAGAGTATTTGAGAAATTTCACTGGTATCTAAAATGTTGGTGTTGTATTTATTGCAATACAAGGTTACATGGGTTAACAAAAACAACAGAAACAATAACTTTGTTTGCTTTTTCATTTCATATCTGTTAGTCTCGAGTATTTAAATGAAGTGACAGTTAAAGTAATATGAAGTAGCCTGAAAAGAGAAAGAATAAACAAACACACACACAGAGCGTTAGATGACACGTGAATTTTAATAATCGGCCAAATACCCAGGCCTAATGTTTAAAATGTCTAAAGTTTTTCAGTGTGGTTTTTATTTAGATAATTCAAATCTGATCTTTTATTATTTTATATTTTTTCTTCACTGTGCTATTGTCACGATCACCAGCTGGAGTGCCCTTGATTGCCACCAGAGGGCACTCCATCCCAAACCATTGCCACCCTGTCATGGACTTCATTCCCCACAATCCTATGCACAGACTCATCAGCACTCATTGTTTTCACCTGTGTCTCATTAACCCTGATTGTTCACCCTACATAAGCCTGGCTCATTCAGTCGTTCATTACTGAGTCTTGCATGTCTCATTATGGTGTTTTTATGCTTTGTATCCTGTTTTTTTGTGTCTTGAGCTGTATTCACAATTACTGTGATTTCGCGATGACAAGATGTGACGCTCTACTTGGAGTTGTTCACATCCTTGGCCTCTGAACTTTCGCAGTATCAGTGCCTAAACATAGCACCTAATGAATCTGAGGTGGTCCGGTGGTAGTAGTACAAGTTGTAGCTCTAAGAAAACTCCCAGTTCACAAGTTGTAATTACAAGTTCTACGAGGACGTGAATGCTTTTTACAAGTTGGAATCTCGTAACCATGGTAATTACGACATGGCGTGAACGCACCTTTGGTTCCTGGTTTTGATTATCAGCCTGTTAGGCTCAGCCCTGAACTCAGTCTTGGCTTGGATTGTCTGTTTGTGTATGACCTTTGCCTGTTTTTTGGACTACGTCTGTGGATTAACTCTTCAATAAATACTGTGTTTGGATCCTCAAGCTTTGGGTCTCTGTGCAGTCTGTGCAGAACACAGAAGTTCAGAAAAGAAAAAAAAGTACATTTTTGTAAAAATTTTTATAAAAATATTAAGTTGTTACAGTTTTATAAATTAAACAGTCCATGACAGCTATCATCAGTTATGTGCTTTTTCAGTTGAGTACTTGGAGTTAAATGTTGCTGAATATTTTGTAAAGTTGTTCTTTGTACTCAAATGTGAACAATAAACTGCAAAAGACTGCTTTTTAAATATGAATCCTGCATGTCTCTGTGGTTTTATCTACGACACAAGCTCACTGTTTTCAGCATCTGTCATCTCAACTTTATGACGACATGAACACATGAACTTCATCTCCAGAGCTACTCTGATAATAATAATTTTTATATAGGCTAATAATTGAAATAATAAATTTTTAAAGCAATAACACTATCTTATTCTTGTTTTAACAGTTAACCTCTGCTGTACAGCACTCTGTTAGCCAAAAACTAAAAGGAATTGTTACATTTTCATTTGATCCGATTTTTGTTAATGTTTTATGCCTTAATTTGATTACCACTTTTTTAATACATTTGTCTTAAAATATAAATCCAGAGAAATTAAAACAGACAGAACACAGAATTTCAGAAACATTTTCATATTTTTGTAAAAAAGTTTATAAAAAGATTGTTGTTACAGTTTTATAAATTCAATTGACTAAAAATGCTTTTAGATTATTACAATTTAATTATACTCTTTAAATGTGATTAAAACAGAAAACACTTAATTTGAGAAAAAATAAAACAGATTTCATATGGCTCTAAAATATACTGTTAAATTGTATACGTTTTATGATTTCAAATAATTAGACATGCTTTTTGGTTATAATTTAACCATTAAACAGAATCCAGAAAAAAATATAATAAAAATAAAACGCACAAAAGAATGTAATCCAGAAATATGAAACATAATCCAGTTCTAATGTCATCTCAGAGTACAAACTGTAGTAAGCATATGCTTGATCACTGTTATAATTATGTGGGGCTCCTTGGACAGTTTTCTCGCCTATAAAGGGCCCCTGGCTCCAAAACTTTGATAACCTGGAAGTCTCTGCTGTACAGCAGCGAGAATCACGTGATACATTAATCAAAGATGTCCAGCAGGGGCGACAGACAAGAGAGCAAAAACATCATATTAATAAATGTGAAATATCCAGCAGAAAGTGTGGATACACAATCCTGTTCTCTAAACATCTTCAGTAAATGTATTTAAATTAACTTAAAGAAATAGATCACTATGTTTATGTAGTTTTAGTCCAGTAATGTTGTTCTCTTGTTGAGGGAGGGACACTGATATTTCTGTAACTGTGTTAAAAAAAACAGTGTTAACCACACAAAGCCAGTGAAGCTAAAGTGCATGTGTTAAAAGAGTCAGTCATTTAGCTGCTGCTGATCTGATGAGCTTCAACACGGTAAGACAAACACACTCGTACTTCAATGAAAACTGATGATTATTGCTCATATAACATACGTGTCACGGCGCGGTCAGGAATCACACCGTGTGAGCAAGGGTTTTGGGTCCAAATGCAGGTTTATTTCACTGCCAGGGAAAACAAAGGTAAAAACAGAAACATAAACAGAGCTAAGACTCTGAGACACAGGCAAGGAAACAGACTCTGACACCATACGGCCACGTAGGGCTGGCATCAGTCCCGTACAAACAATTAATCACACTCGTAACACAACTCAACCAAACCTTAAGCATCCGCCCCGAGTGGCGTGGGGAAGGCGCCTAAATAGTCCTCATGACGGGCCACAGCTGTGTGAGAGTGAGTGTGTGCACAGGTGTGTGGAGTGCAGGTGATGGAGTCCCGGATGGGCGACAGCTGTGTGTGTGTGTGAGTGGGTGCCCAGGTGTGTGGTGTCAAGGTGACGGAGAAAGAGTCCGGGAGGAATGGGAGATGGCGACCTCTGGTGGTGAGAGGGAGAACACCAGACGCCAGCCCCTGACAATACGTGTCTTAATGTCAGAATGTTAAGAATAGGGTGATGTACTTACAGCACAAGTTATGATTATAAGTGCTGATTAATGCTGTATTATATATATATATTTGATGCTGATGTGGGTCAGAATGGCTCCTCGTCTTCCTCTGATCTTTCTGCTCATGATTCACGGTGAGTCTCTGTTACATTCACATCACAAACACTCTGATGATTTTATTTAAGGCCTCACAATGAGCGGCTGATGAGCACTTTCTTCTGTCCTGTTCTCACATATTTCCTTTTAAACAGGAAGTTTAGGTGAGAAACGTCAAAGTGCTTGTGCCTTTTATAAATATCCAGTAGTCTTCTGTTATTGGCTAGTCAGTGTCATGTGGTTTAGGAGGGACGTGCTCATTGTTCAGAGCATCTGATTGGACCAAACATCTGTCTAACACTAGATTGTGAATATTTTTGGCTCATGTTCTCGGAAGTGAGTGAGCATATGTTAATATTGTCAAAGGAGTTCACTAGCATATAGATGAGGTTCGAGATGAGAAAGTAAAAGCCACAAAACTCACATTGGGTACTTAATAAATGAACTTTGATTATTTTCTTATTGTTGTTTTTCATTATTTGATAGTGCAGCATGTTGTTCACGGCTGATTTCCTGGTTATTTTTCAGTCCTTGATCTCTGTGCTTTTATTTCTGCTTTTCTGCGACTGATGATGAACTTCACATAATTTATCACTCAATAGATTCTGAGAAAATTAGCTTTTTTCTGTAAAGAGTTGCTGTTTTCAAGAAGTAAAAGAGTTATCATGTTTTTATGGCCCAGTGTAACTGATAAAACAACATTTTCATCCTGATGAATTCTGTGTTTCAGGGGTTTCTGGTGCTGGTTGGGGTGTGAGTTACAGTCCTTCAGACATCTGTGCACTAAAGAACTCATCAGTGATAATGAGCTGCACTTATACATACCCTACTGGATATAAGATCATGAAAGTGTTCTGGACCAAAAACCCTGAAAAGGGTGAAGAGTATCCAGATCTGTCTGAGGATCCTGAATACAGTCAGAGGCTTCAGTATCTGGGAGACACACAGCAGAACTGCAGCATCAGACTGAGTCATGTGACACAGAAAGATGAACACATGTACTATTTCAGATTCCTCACTGATAAACCTGATGGAAAATGGATTGGTTATCCAGGAGTGAATCTTACTGTCACAGGTGACTTTCATGAGGCTGAGCTCTTCTTCTGTGCATTATGTTGAATAATAATCAGTGTATGACAGCAGCACTAGATATAATGTGTGTGTTGTGTTCAGATCTTCAGGTGGAGGCTCCTGAGAGAGTGACAGAGGGTCATAATGTCAGTCTGACATGTAACAGCAGCTGCACTCTGACTGACAGAGCAACATTCATCTGGTACAGAAACTCACAGCCATTAACTGAGAGAAGAGACGGAAACAATCAACTCCTGCTGCAGTCAGTCAGAAGAGAGGATGCAGGCAGATACAGCTGTGCTCTACATGGACACAGTTACATCTCTCCTGCTGCTCAGCTCAGTGTCACGTGTGAGTACTGAATGACTTTTCGTCTTTAAAGTTGCCTTTGAAAAGCTAGCAGAGTTTAGGGCTACATATCTCTGATAAATGGTTAGTAGTTTTTTTGGAAGCTCTTGTCCTTTTACTAAAACCATTATTCTGACACACAAAACCAGATGTAAATGTTGTGTCTCTAAAACACAAGATAAACTTTCTGAGGCTGAGAAGATAACAGGAAAGGTCACTTTTACAAATCCAGTGCTTTGTCAATGAATAAAAAATGCATATAAATTATCTATATATGTAAATAATGAATAAACCATAAATACCAGTGGCAGCTGGCCAAAAGAGGGTCTAGAGCAACGTCCGCCCTGAATCAAATCAAAAAAATTAAAGTCAGAACTAGGACTGGATAAAGCAAACGTGTCTCGCAAGTAAAGTTTTGATGTATGATGAAAAAGGCTTAATGAAGCCTATTATACTAAAACAGTGATATTGGAGGGCCACATTCTGTCCACATCTTATTATCAAAGCATACTTTTCCAGACAAGCAGAAGAGCCCAGAATATGAACGCAACAAGCTAAATTGCACGTTAAGCATTGTAGCCCCTTTAAACAAGTGTAACATTTATTTTCCCTCATAGTTTTTGCTGTTGCAGTGTATACTGTACATACAATGCAATTTAAGAAAAGTAAAAATTATTTGTAATTTACCTTGAAAAAAGCTTGCGCCACATCTCTTGCTTTGCCTCTTAGATGGACCAAGATCTCCTCCGCTTGCTGCTCTTTCCTCAGATTATTCCGTTTAATGTAGTCTCTCATGATATCTATCCACTCATTTAAGTCAACGGTGTCAGAAACTTCACCTCTGAAGCTAGGAGGTTCTTTAACATTTCTGGAAAACGACAACTCGCTTTGTATTAAGTCCAGCATTTGTGAAGATGTACTGTCTGTCGTCACATTTTTTGAGGAATCACTCACTGAATGCGTGTCTACTGAATGAGTTTGGTTCAGTCTAGTGACTATGCTATCAGCAATTTGCTGACCGACTTGACTGATTATGTCAGACATTGCTGTGACTACATCTGGGGTCTGTGTGTTAGGAATTGGGGTAGACGAAAACACACCCTGTTGCTCTACTGAAGCATCTGATTCATGACTAGTAGGTGGGCCCTCACAAACTAATGGATCTGAATAGGGAGCTTCACTCTCTGTGATTTCATGTGTCTCATTCTGTACATTGGGCTCACTGAACTGTAAAAACTTTGGTACTTTCAATAGACCCCATCCTCTACCTTTACTTCCACAGACAGGAGTGCGATAGTCGTCAAAACCACTCATTGTGAATGTCAGTACACAAACAATGAATAAAAAAAGATGAAAATCTAGAATGCGCTGCTGACTGAACAGAAAACTGTCCTTTGTAAATGTCTCAATCTCAAATTTCTCAAATGCGGTCACTGAGCGAATAAAGTCTCTCGTATTCTTTTTGGAAAGAAAAAAAATTACCACAGTTTCTGTACAAGACTGTGTCCACCTGACTGCAGCGAAACTTTAAGATGAACCCTCGGCCGCTTCAGGAACCATCTTGATTGAAGAAACAACAGGTCAACGTTAATGTTACCAGTGTGTCAAAGTACAACCAATAAGCCTAAGCTACGGCGTGCCTAGCAAACCAACATGTTACTGAACAACTAGCCTTAAACAACGAGCAATATTTGACAATAGCATATTTGCCAACATAGCGTTAAGCAATGAGAATGAAATAAGAAACTTGGCAAGAAATGTTGCTTAATAATATATTTATGGGGGAAGCATCACCCCAAGCGCAGCAAGTGAGGAATCAGAGGAAAACGACTGTAGTTACCTGTATGTATATGTGACTGTGTGTGTTGGAGTAATTCACACTGAGATCAGGTGGATGGTCACTCAAGGATGCTTTACTGGGCCTGACAGACAAAACTGGGACAAACACGTCCAAAAGGCTGGTTAGAATACATTGCATCGATGTTGCATTTCAAGTCTTAGCAGCAGGGAGATTATAGAGACTCTGCTGTTGACATTTTCTCTAAAGTGCACGTGATATAGTGGGCAAAAACCTCAAAATAAAACATTAAATAAAATAAAACACTAATACAGTCCATTTACATTAATACAGAGAAACTGTAAACTTAAGTGACCGATATTTAACGGAAATAATGCAGCCCTAAAATGGCGCCGCTACACACTTCAGCATGTGCGAGTGCATACATGTGTGCTAATAGCTAACATTCAACTATAGCTGATATTATTTTCACACAGATCATGACAAAACCGAACAAAACACATACCTGGGACAAACACGTCCAAAAGGCTGGTTAGAATACATTGCATCGATGTTGCATTTCAAGTCTTAGCTAAATGAAATAAACAGAGGTTCGGAGTTCACAAATAGGGCAATAAACACTTCATTTGATCATGACCAGGTAATATACACAGCGATATGGATTAAAACAGCATTCACTTATCTTAGATGTGGATTTCAGATGTTCTGAAACACGCTGCAACAGTTTGATTTGCGAGCAGCGATGCTTAATTTGCTCCGAAGCAAGCTGAAAAGCTGCTGAATAATACTGAATACAGCTTATATAGGAATGCCGCGATAGGTGTCGTATTCCTATAGGTAGATGTGATCAGCTGAGAATCAGCTGATGCAAGCTTGACTCACGTGACCTGCCAGAACTAACGCTAAAGCTTAATTTTTGCGAGAATCCTCCTCAAACTTAATCCAGAATTGGATAAAACATTTATCTGCATTTCAACCATTTAAAACCTGAACAAATGTAGTCTTAATATTTTTTTTCCCGTACCGAATAAGGACCAAAGCTTTACTGATGATTTTTATGAAGTTTTATTAGTGTCCGTTTACTCCAAGAAAATCAACGTAAGAGTTTAATAAAACAAAGTACAACAAATGTGCAGTAAAGCCTTGTTCATAGGCTCTCTCTACTGCATTATTATAACATACTCAGCAAATTTCATAAAATACTTAACTGACAGTAATCAGATATATACAGACCGTATGCCTGTTTTGGGGGGTGCTGAACAAACGTCTCAGGTTACTTATGTAACCATGGTTCCCTGAGTAGGGAACGAGACACTATGTCCTCTAGGGGTCGCTATGGAGAATGCGTCGTCGTGACCAGTGTCTGAAGCATACATTGAAAAAACACCAACTCGTTGGCCGGCGACAGCCATGACGTCACTACCGGTGCGACTATAGTATAAATAGGCGCCGGGAGCTACACATCATTCACTTCTTCGTCTGATGGTTGCGTCCGCAGCATGGCAAGAAACCTAGAGGACGCAGTGTCTCGTTCCCTACTCAGGGAACCATGGTTACATAAATAACCTGAGGTGTGCGATTTTTGAATACCAGCCATCTCAAGCAAGTTTCTAATGATTTTGCTTTCAAAATTCGCACCCTGGTCCGAATGTATTCTCTTTGGAAATCCATAAATACAAAAGAAGTCATTCCAAAGGCGACGGGCAACTTGTTTTGCAGACTGGTTGTGACAGGGGAAGGCGTGTGCCATTTTAGAGAAATGATAAGTCACTACGAAGACATCGACGACCTTCCCTGAAGTTTGTTCTGCACTCCAAAAGTCAATACAGACGAGCTCCATAGGCTCAGAGGTCCGAATGCGCTCAAGAGGCGCACGAGCATCTGGCTCCGGAGTTTTCCCAACCACACATCTCTGGCAGTTCTTCACATACAGCTTAATGTCTTTACTCATCCCCGGCCAAAAGAATCTTTCAGCTGCAAGGGAGAGAGTTCTCGCACTCCCCTGGTGTCCGGCGGCATCATGAACACCACGGAGAACATCATGCTTTAGGGAATCAGGTACAACGTATTGAAGAAGCTTCCTGTTCATCAGCCGATCCCTCTTTACTCTGTACAGCACATGATTACGGATCTTAAGCTTTTTCCAGTGCTTCAAAAGGTATGTCACAGGTCTAGGTTCCTTTGCTCTCTCACTCTTCGAAGGACGTTTACGTCTCAGAACATAGTTGATGACTCTTCCGAGTACATTGTCCTGCTCTTGGAGACTGGAGAGTCTGGAAAACGGGATTGCTACAGACGGGTCTTCATAAGGAAGCTGGAGTGATGTTGGACTGGCTACGGGCAAAAGACTAACCTCATCACCAGAGTGAACACTCAATGCAGCAGAAACTTCAGCAGCGTCAAAAGATCCAGGACATGAGTCATTCGCATCATCCTGTGGCTCCTTCTCCGTTTCACCATCGCTGGTAGCCTGCACATTCTGACACTGGTTAGAGACACGAAAGGCATCTTGAACGGTACCAGTAACAACACCATTGACCTCATCCAGAAGAGAAACATATGGTTCTTTCAACAGACGATGGCTGACACAAGACTTAACAAAGGGCTCTCTGCTTAAGGCATCTGCAACAACGTTTTTCGTACCTGGCACGTACTTCAGGTCAAAATCGTATGCAGCGAGCTTCGCCACCCATCGCTGTTCGCACGCATCTAATCTGGGTTTGGTTAGAATATAGGTCAAGGGATTATTATCAGACCATGCTGTGAAATGTCTCCCTTTTAGCCAATGGCTAAACTTGTCACAAATGGCCCACTTTAAAGCCAGAAATTCGAGTCTGTGTGCTGGGTAGTTCATCTGGGACTTAGAGAGTGTTTTGCTTGCAAAAGCAACTGGACGTGCAATTTTCTCACCAGAAGGTACTTGAGATAACACCGCTCCTATGCAGTAGGTCTTGCTTTAAAGTTTCAAAAGTGGTTTGGCATTCACTAGTCCAATCCTCAGGTGAAAGTTTGACGACACTGAATGGTTTTTTTCATACGACCACACTTCCTGTGAGCTTTATTCTGTGACTGATCTGACAGGAGACTGAACAGAGGTTTTGCCTTAGCAGAACAGTCCTGAATGAAATGCTGATAATATAAAATCATACCCAGGAAAGATCTGATCTTCTTTTGAGAAGGGGTTATACCATCATCTTCCATGAGA